CACATCGATTGGAGACATGTTTTTTGATCATTTTATAAATTCGTTTTCTTGGCCCTTGCTCGCTGAGCTCTGTAACGAGAGCTTGTAACCCGAGTGGGGGCATGTGGGTGATGCGGACGGCAGTGTCTGGTCAGACGGGTTGAGCCAGCGGGCTGTGTTGTCGGCCCGCCCATTCCGAGTGTAGAGTTGGGCCAAGGTGTCCATGCGGAAGCTTGGGCTTCTTGGCCCGTAGAGTGGAGAGCACCGCGTGAGGCTGGTTTGACAGAGCAGCGAGAATCTCCCGCTCTTTGCGGTGGAAGGATAACGGGCCGTTGCTTAGCGGGTTTAAAGAGCCCATTGATCAGCTCCAACCGGACCATCACCTTTTTTAGCGCAAATTATATCGTGTATGCACCGCGCATCAAAATTTAATGAAAAGAAACGGAATCTGTTTCGCAAAAAATAACTCTGTTCTTCACTTTCATTTTATATACACTGCAGTTCCAGTTCAATACAACTACAATTTCATTTCGATATAACTATAGTTTCATTCAATATTTATACACTCAAATATGTGAAAATGTTATTTAATTTTATTTTATATACACTATAGCTTCATTAAAACACAACTACATGATTATTTCAATATAATTACAGCTTCATTGTACAATATACACTCAAATATGTGAAATGTTATTCAATTTCATTTTATATATACTGCAGTTTCATTTCACCACAACTACAGTATCATTTTGATATAACTGCAGTTTCATTTTATAATGTAAAAATAATACGTGAGGCAGTATCGGTTTAGATACACTGTAGTGTCCCGTTAACACTAACAGTGCGCCGTTTTTTTACTTAAAGAAACGATGCCGTGTTGATTATGCACCGCGGTCCACGATATAACGACTGTTTTTTTAGGATCTTAATAAACATTTAAAAAAATTATTTTTATTGTATTTTAAGAAAACCGTTGAAATTCATCAAAGGATATATAATAAAGTAAAATAACGTTTATCCAATTGCGTCAATTTTAACCATTTATGGAGAAATTGTAGTAGATAAAGAAACAATAATTGATTAGATATATAAAGGAAATAAGAAGTTTATAATTCATCAATGATACATCACATAAATGTGTATCAAAGAGTAATAATTATCAACAAATATAGAAATAGCAGATTTGCTGACAAGCTTGCTAATAAAGTTATGTCACACAAGAGAGGAGTCTTAAAATAGTCTGAGATATCGTCAATGTCAATTAAAAATTTTGAGAGATGAGTTTGGTCCAACCCCTTCTATTCCAAAAAAATAAAATAAAAAATAGTAATAATTGTTGTTTTTTTTTTTTTTTTTTTTTTTAGAAGAGTAATAATTGTTTTTCTTTCTCAAATTACTAGTATATCCAAAATCGGATGATGCACATTTCTTGAAATATATATAGAAAGAAGATAGGAGCAAGATTATAATTTGTTGTGACACATCATATTATCAAAGAATAATACTTGCTTTTCTATCTCAATCATTTTTTCTTCATATTGTGTATGGTATTCTCTACTACAAGACTAATCTAGGTTGAACTCGATCGAGTTGTATTTACATAATTTAACTCTAACTAGAAAGAAAACTTGGCCCTAAGCTCAATCTTCTTGTTAAAATTATCATTCTACTAACAAACTGTCCCAAATAGATAAGTTTTCAATTATTTGTTTTCAAACTAACAATTGTTTTCCTTTCTCAATCTTTTCAAACTTCGTACCTAAATCTCTTTGAATATGCAATATAAACTCTATCCAATTGCGTTAATTCTAACCATCTATGGAGTAATTGTGTTGGTAAAGAAACAATAATTGATTAGATATAGAAAGGAAACAATAAGGGGGTGTTTGGTTGGATGGAAAATATTTTCTAAGAAAATTATTTTCCTAAAAAGTTAGAAAAAGCTTGTTTTCTAATGTTTGGTTCATGAAATTTATTTTCTATTGGAAAATGATTTCCTTACTTTTGAGGAAAACAAATTCTGAAGTGCAACTTAGGATTTTGTTTTTGTTGGTAGTTGGGAACAAAAAGTAAGTTTGCAAGATTATTTTATCCTTGTGTTTAGGGCTGTTAACGAACCGAACATAAACGAACGAAGGTTGTTCGTGTTTGTTTGTTAAGGTTTTTGAAAATCCTGTTCGTGTTTGTTTGTTAAGCGTTCATTAGTGTTTGTTAACGTTCGCGAACACGTTCACAAACGTGTTCGTTTACGTTAACGAACACGTTCGTGAACGTGTTTGTCAATGTTCGCGAACACGTTCACGAACATGTTTTTAACGTTAACAAACACGTTCACGAACATATTGGTTTACGTTCATGAGCACGTTCGTGAACCTTTAATAACCAAACACCTGTACATGTTCATGATCACAATTCGTTCGTGAACAAGAAATAATCTACATTCATGTTCGTGAACATTATTAGACGAACACTAAACGAGCTTGTTCACGAACATTATTAAACGAACACAAACGAGCTTGTTCACGATCTCTTAGCAAACGAGCATACAACTATTCAAGCTCTGTTCGTTTATTAACCGAGCTCTAATTTTTGTCTGTTAATGGTTCGTTTACCTTAACAAACGAACATAAACGGACGTTTACCGAACACGAACACGAGTAGTTTGCCGAAAGCTCTGTTCGCTAACACCTCTACTTGTGCTTCTTTCTTAATTACATTACATACATATAAATAGCAAACCCTAGGGTTATAGGGACATATAGGTCTTTATACTCATTATTCCTTACAATCACAAACACAACCAAACAATATAATCAATATTTCCAGTAACTTCTTTTCCACCAACCAAACAATGGAATAATTCATCTCCCCAATAACTACTTTTCCATGAAATTTCAATCTCATTTCCTTTTTAAATATTTTCCGCGAACCAAATGAGCTCTAAGTTTATCACTCGTCGTGATACATGGTATAGATGTGTATCAAAGAGTAATAATTGTTCTTCTTTTTTTCTCAAATTAATAGTATATCCAAAATTAGATGCACATTCATGAAATATATAGAAAGAAAATAAGCGTAAGTTTATAATTTGTTATGGGACATCATATACACGTAAAACGTGTATATCAAAGAATAATATAATACACAATCCTTAAAAAAATAAAATAAAATAAAATCATACCGCATATGGTATCCTCCATTATAACTTATACGACTAATTTAATTTATATTGAATTTTGGTCACACCCGCAAAATATGATTGTTACTAAAAGAGAAAAGCCTGATCCAAAACTTAACCTTATATTTGAATTGCCAATTTACCATTTCACTAACGAATTGTTCCAAACTGTTGGGTGTTTCAATTTTTTTCAAACTAATAATTCTTTTTCTTTATCAATCTTTTCACACACCTTACATGGATCTCTTTCACTCTGCAATATAAACTTTATCCAAAAAGAATAAAATTGTTTAAGTAATTGTATAACTCATTCCTAAATCCTAATTAATTTTATTTATTTATTTACTAGCTAGTATGGATATTATTTACCAACCTAGCTGTTTTTTTTTTTTTTTTTTTGAAGGGAAAACCATGATACTTTATTAAATCAAATGAGCAATACAATGCGGAATAGAATGAATCCAACAAGAATGATCGACTGTGAACGAGCACTTCTAGCAAGAGTATGAGCGAGCTTGTTCGCTGATCTAGAAATAAAATTAAATGACACTAAATCGTTACCAACCTAGTTGTTTAATCGTTACAGAATTTACAGCTTAAATTTCACATCTGAAAGGAAATTTATGAAAGTCATTTGTTCCTTAGGGTTGGGGGAAATAATGAAAGTCATTTGTTCTTCCCAACAAATCATTCCATGTTTTAGCACAAATTCTTCCACTAATCATTCCATGTTTCCTAACAATAATTAAGTTCAAAAAAACAAATAAATTAATAATACTAACGGTTTCGGTTTTGTGAAGCCATTAATTGTATTCAAATAGATAATATTGAAGAGATTAGGATAATCCTAGTCATCATGACATAGTGACATATTGTGTAATTTATCAATTATCAATAATTTTCATATTTACTCATCATTAATTAAATTGTGCATACCATTATATTGACAGCTAATCATAATCATAATAACTGAAATAGAAAACGCAAATACCCCTTATTAGTCTAATCTACTGTACTATATATTGCATAGTAGCAAGGAAATTACAGGTAAATTATCCAAATAGTTTACCGTTTATAAAAGTTCTATTGCTTTGACTTTACACTTTTAATTTTGTCTAATAATATAATATCGTTAAATTTTTAAATTTTTACATATTTCGATTAATTTTGGACTAAACAATACCTTTTGGGAATTAAAATAAGTACAATTTGATAACAAATGATATTATGCGACAAAATTAAAAATTAAAAGTCAAGAATTAAAGTGGTAAAATCACTATAGTTGAGAGACGGCTTCGTTAAGAATCATGTTGCGCACCCCTATATAAAATCGCTCACTATTAGTCATTTCTTAACATATTTGACATACGTAAATTAAATTTCTTTAATTTTTATTCTGAAGGTCCCTCACATTCTGTCCCGACAAAATATTTAGGAGGAAGTAAATCTTCTCAAATATTGTCTACTGAACCATCTCATTAAGTTAAACTCGTGGAGGCAATTTTTATTTTAATAAAATAGGATAAGTCAATTCACCCGTATTCATGACAATTAAGATTAAGAATAAAAAAAAAAAAAAAGTTACTTATATGGGGCCATTGTAATCGTAAAATCGTAAAATTTTCTATATTTCTATATATGGAAATATGGAATACTGTAGTAATTTACTATTTCAGTAATTTACTATTTACTATTACCTTAGATGCTTTCCATTTCTCTATATATTCCTCCCTCCCCATTTCATTTCTCCCCTACCATTCAATCTTCCTTTCATTTATATATCCCTATCGATTTTCTCTGATCTGTTGCTAAACCTTCAGAAGCTAAGGAAGAAGTAACAATGGCGGGTGGTGGTTTTGGCCCTGATCCGGGCACTGGAAAAGCATACCCTGGAAATCTCACTGGTTATGTCACTTTTACTTGCATCGTTGCTGCCATGGGAGGCCTTATTTTCGGTTACGATATCGGGATTTCAGGTAACCGATCTCATACTTAAGTGACTCGAGTGAAACGCTTTTGGCCCGAGTCTCGAGGTTTAACATTTTTTTGTTTTAATTTGGTGGTGGAATATAATAGGGGGTGTGACATCTATGGATTCGTTCTTGGAGAAGTTTTTTCATTCTGTATACATAAAGAAAAATGAGGATACGTCTACGAATCAGTACTGTAAGTTCGACAGCGTTACATTAACGTTGTTCACCTCGTCATTGTACTTGGCTGCGCTGTTCTCCTCCCTGGTTGCCTCGTATGTTACCCGAAAACTGGGGAGAAGACTTTCCATGCTCCTCGGAGGTCTTCTCTTTTGCGCCGGAGCTTTGCTTAACGCCTTTGCTCGCGACGTCGCCATGTTGATCATCGGCCGCCTTCTCCTCGGTTTTGGTGTCGGATTTGCCAATCAGGTAATGTAGTCTCCCATCTATTTTCTTGCCGGACAGACATCCTTAAACTGGTTCTTAGGATTTATGTACGAGGAAAATCATAGTCACTATTTGAGAGAGTGTAGATTTGATAAATCTAGTCTGGGTGACCCTAGTTTGTAAAGGACTACATAAACAATCCGCCTAGGTTGTTTTGATTGGCTCAAACCAAAAAGATTTATAGGCTGCTCCCTTAAGAGTTCACTACCCCATTGAATATGTGTTGATGGGATAAATTTCCGTAATGTAACCTTAGTCAGTCTCCAAAACACTGTTGCAAAAATTGGCTTAAGTAGTCGCCTAGGCGTCCTTATATAGTGATGATTTATCCCCTAAGTGCCAAACTCAGTCGAGTTAACTGTAAACTCGGTAGAATTAACTAGTCCAATTCAGTCGAATTGGCCTTGCTAATTTTTCTTTTATTTCACACACACACACACACACACACACACACACACACACACACACACACACACACACACACACACACACACACACACACACACACACACACACACACACACACACACACACACACACACACACAAAGTAGTACAATGAACTAAATCAATCTAAAATTAAACTTGTATTATTTAGTTATTGTTCATCGCATTCTTGATCTGACAATTTTGTGTGTTGTGCAGTCGGTTCCGTTGTACCTGTCGGAGATGGCGCCCTACAAGTATCGAGGAGGGCTCAATATGTTGTTTCAGCTATCAATCACAATTGGGATCTTAGTGGCCAACGTTTTGAACTTCTTCTTCGCCAAGATCACGTGGGGATGGCGGCTGAGCTTGGGCGGCGCCGCCATCCCGGCGGTGTTCATCATCATCGGCTCCATCATCCTCCCGGAGACACCCAACTCCCTGATCGAGCGCGGCAACCACGACGTGGCCAAAGAGCGGCTCAAGAGGATCAGGGGAATCGACAACGTGGACGAAGAGTTCAACGACTTGGTCGAGGCGAGTGAGGCCTCCCGGAAAGTGGAGCATCCATGGCGGAACATGTTGCAGAGGAAGTACAGGCCGCAGCTAACTATGGCGATCATGATCCCATTTTTTCAACAGTTTACGGGGATTAACGTTATCATGTTCTACGCTCCCGTGCTGTTCAACACCCTGGGCTTCGGGGATGAAGCTTCGCTTGTGTCCGCTGCCATCACCGGCGCTGTTAACGTTTTTGCCACCTTTGTCTCCATTTACTACGTCGATAAATTGGGGCGTAGGTTCTTGTTCCTCGAGGGTGGCATTCAGATGTTGATCTGTCAGGTAAAGCTATCACGTACTAAAAGATCCACCAAATCATATACTCACACATATCACTCAAATTGATCATATTGTTGAGTTATTAATTACATGGTTCCAAGTCCAATTCTTGTGAGAGCAATTTTTTGGTGACAACTTAGACTGGTTAGTTCTTTGGCAACTAGAGTTACAAGAGCAATCTCAACCAAATGGACTGTACTATTTGCTTAGTAACCACAAAGTTCCAAGTCGGATTTGAGTCGGTCAGTTAGGATAACTTAGACAAGTTACTCCTTTGTTAGTTGAAGTCAAATTATCATATTGTTGACTTGGTCAATTGCATGGTTCCAAGTCCAATTCTCAGTACTTTTTTGGCCTTCTTGGTGACAATAGACTGGGTAGTCCTTTGCCACCTAGAGTTACAAGATCAATCTCAGCCAAATTGGCTTGTGGTATTTGCTTGGTAACCACAAAGTTCCAAATTCAATTCTTAATGAAAGTGATCTATAAACCATTTTGGTTTGAGTCGATCAGCTAGAATAATTTAGACAAGTTAATCTTTTGTCAACAAAAATCACAAGGGCAACCTCAGCTCGACCAAATTGGGCATGCTATAGTTTAGTAACAACAAGGTTCCAAGACCAATTCTCAATGAAACTGATTTATTGAGCCGGTTAGGTATAGCAACCTAACGTGATTAGTCTTTTGCTAGTTAAAATCACTAGTGATTTTGATTTTATTTTTTTATCACTCGAAACACGTGATATTATAAACTCATATTTTTTTGGTTACAGGTGGTGATTGCCATCTGCATTGGGGCGAAATTCGGGGTGACTGGATATGCCGGCGATTTACCAAAGTGGTTCGCCTTTGTGGTGGTGGCTTTCATCTGCATTTACGTGGCCGCATTCGCATGGTCATGGGGGCCTCTGGGGTGGCTGGTTCCCAGCGAGATCTTCCCACTGGAAATCCGATCCGCCGCGCAGAGCATCAACGTGGGAGTCAACATGATCTTCACCTTCATCATCGGACAGGTGTTCTTGATGATGCTGTGCAGCATGAAGTTCGGGCTGTTCCTGTTCTTCGCCGCCTTCGTGGTGGTGATGACGGCGGCGGTCTACTTCTTCCTGCCGGAGACCAAGAACATCCCCATTGAGGAGATGGTGGTTGTTTGGAAGGAGCACTGGTACTGGAAGAGGTTCATGACGGGGGTTGATTTTCCGGGGAAAACAGCGCCGGAGGTTGAAATGGGGATCGGAGGAGAAGGTGGGCACAAGAATGTGTGATAATCAACAACGTTGTCTGCATGTGTTTTTCCAGTTTTATGTTCGGATGTTAGATTTTTTTTTTTTTTTTTTTTTTTTTGGTCACCTTTGGAGTGGATTTATATATAGTGCGTGGATTGAATTGCTAATGTTGCAGTTTACTGGTACGTCTTGATACATAGAACTATAGAAGTTGTGTTTTGCATTTTATTTGTGTTCCATCGTTGCTGAGATTAGGAAGAGAGAGAGAGAGAAAAAAAAAAAAAAAAAAAGACTTCGTAATAATATTTCTTACACATAATAAAGTTTTCTTCTTTTTAGAATTGGAGACTTTGGCGTTCTCTGTATAATGTTTATTGTTTAATACCGTGAATTGTCAATTTTTAAATTTAAATGGTTTCTACGACTATAATTTACACAAGCTGTGTGGATCATATTTTATATACGGTAAATTAATGTATATTCAGTACAAAAATAATGTACATTTAGTACAAAAATAATATACATTTAATATATTAAAATGTACTTTTTGTTATGGTCCATACAACACTGTGTGGACCATAACTTGCCCTTATGCAGTGTGATAGTACCTTCGTTACCATTCCAAATAGGTGAATTGAGAAAATATATCTAGAATATATACTACCTTTTAAGAATCACGAGTATTTTTTTTAAAAAAAATTAAATGCTGCTTCAACCTTAAAAATGATTGGATGGGGTAAATTGCGAGATTATCGACTAAAACCACCATTCCGAGATTATAGACTAGACGACCATTAGGAAAATTTAGAAATTTAAATTTTTAAGCATTAGTAAATGAGTTTTTTTTTTTTTTTTTTTACTAGTTTGAGAATTTGAAAAATCATTTAATTTGTTACTATTACCCACTATCTATTAAAAAGGGAAATTCTATTCACATCCCCCTTTTTACTATTTGCACCACCTATATAATAGGTCAAATCACTTTATAGGTGGTGCTAACAAAAAATGCTAGTTGCACCCCATTATTTAATGTAGTCCAAAGATTAATATTTATTTTATATTTTTTTTTACAATCATTATTATTAATTAACAAAAAAAAAAAAAAAAAACACAACTAAGCCGCTAAGCGTCACCTTCTCCGGTGAGAAGGCAGTCCGTCGCCTTCTCCGGGGAGAAGGTGACGGTTGTTTTTTTTTTTTTTTTTTTTTTTTTTAATGAATTAAATTTTGAATTAATTAATTATTATTTAAATCTAATAAATGTGGTTTGAATAAGGGGGTGCAAATAGCATTTTGACCACCCATTAGGCTATTTGCACCACCTATGTATTTATTATAAATTTTTACCTGTTTAGATTTTCAATGTACTTTATATCCCATTTTTAGTTAAAGGGGGTGCAAATAGCAACACTCATTAAAAAATGTTTGGTAACACTGTTAGTTGATTAGGTTGTCGGGAGTATTCCCGAAATTTTAAAAAAAAAAGTTTAGCCATGATTTTTAGAAAATTTCTTAATAACTGTGTGGTTGGAAATTCCAAACTTCTATGGTCAAAAGTGTTGAAAATTTCACTAATCTTTATTTATTTTTTCTGATTGATTAAAAAAGTAACTTAATAATTGACGAATTTCCAACAATGATTCAATTATTCTATGTTAGTTTTGAATGTAGAATCAAAACCGAACCAACAATAAAACTACTTTATTAATTAGAGGGCAAAAATGATTACACCAACAACAATGCTACTTTATTATGTCTTTATTAGAGGAAAAAACGATTGATAATGGCTCTGTTTGGCAAACCTAGCTGAAAAGCTATAAGCTAGGAGCTGATAGCTGAAAATGAGCTGAAAGCTGAAAAGCTATAAGTTTGGAGTTGAAAATTGAAGAGCTGTTAAGCTAGCTGTTATGATTGAAAGTGTTTGGTAAAATTAGCTTTTTGATAAGCTGATAAATGTAAAAAGACTAAAAAGGACATCTTCATAAAATTTAAATTAATTTGTTTACATATTAAAATTTAACATTTCGTCTTCCAAAAAAAAGTAAACATTTTTAAAAATAAAACTATTAGCATGATCATGATCTAGCATCCCATAATGAAGTAGCAATATTGTCATTGGTTGAAGCCATATTGCTAATTTAAAAATCGCATTAATAATAATAATAGAAGAAGAAGAAGGGATTGACGTGAAGCCATATTGCTAATTTAATAATAATAATAATAATAATAATAATAATAATAATAAGCTAAAGATGAAGGGATTGACGTGAAAATTGGGATAGGGAAGAGAAAGGGTTTTAATTCATAAGGTTAAAATATGTCATTACTTTAAAATAATAAGGGTAAAGATGGAAAAAAAGTTAGGAAGCTAGTAGCTTATTTTGAAACGCTACCTATTAGGTAAAGTTAGGAAGCCATATTGGGTAAAGTAGCGTTCCAAAATAAGTTCATATTTTAAGTTAGGAGCTTATTTTGAGAATATTACCAAACAGAGTTTATAGCTTATTAGTAGCTTAAAATAAGCTATAAGCTCCTAGCTTAGCGTTGCCAAACAGAGCCAATATCATATGATTCCAAGAATGCAGAGCCATTGACCCACAAAGAGATTGTCACAATATTATGCAGACAACAAATTAAAGTTTTCAAATTCCAATTTTAATTTTATTTAATGATGTTTGATGTCATAAATTTTAAGATTAATTTCCTATAGTGCCTACATTATGGCTCTGTTTGGCAGAGCTTATTTAGGAGCTTATAGCTTATTTTAAGCTACTAATAAGCTATAAGCTCTGCTATAAGCTCTGTTTGGTAATATTCCCAAAATAAGTTCCTAGCTTCCTAACTTTTTTTCCATCTTATCCTTATTATTTTAAAGAAATGACATAATTTACCATTCTCAATTAAAATCATTTTCTCTTCTCCTTTATCTGCAACTTTCACCGCAATTATTATTATTATTATTATTATTATTATTATTATTATTATTATTATTATTATTATTATGAAATTTGCAACAATATTGCTACTTCATTATGAGATGCTAGATCATGATTATGCTAATAGTTTTATTTTAAAATAAAACTAATTTAAATGTTAATTTTTTTTATTTTAAAATGTTAATTTTTTTTAAAAGACAAAATGTTAAATTTTAATAGGTAAACAAACTAATTTAAATTTTATGAAAATGTCCTTTTTAGTCTTTTTACATTTATCAATTTATCAAAAAACTAATTTTACCAAACACTTCCAATCATAACAGCTAGCTTAATAGCTCTTCAGTTTTCAGCTCCGAGCTTATAGCTTTTCAGTTTTCAGCTCCTTTTCAGCTTATAGTTTTTCAACTAAGTTTGCCAAACAGAGCCTATGTGTTTGTAGTTAATAGATTATGTACACATAATAAGTTAACTACATGCACATAATATGTTAATTGCAGACACATATACTTTCAATTTATTTACAGACACATAATTTATTAACATTGAAATTAAAACTCCCATGGAAACAAGAAAACATTATTTAATTTGTTATTATTGAATGAGATACATCATACATGCATGCATATAAAGGTAGGTAGCCCAGATGGAGGCCACTTTACCCCACACAAAACGTATCTCAATGCTGCATTATTGTTAAGGTTACAACATTGTTGTTGTCTAATTTCAATTGACAAAACCTTCAATGCAAAGCCATTGGCCGACGAAGAGGGCATTACAGTTGAGGTTTGGGTTTATGCCACTGAAATCTTTAGTGCTAACATTATACGCCTCGGCAATGTCGAAGCACGTGTCTCCTTCCTTCACTCCCACCACCGTGAAACATGATGGCGGCGCGGCGGCTGTGCTATTGTAGAAAGGCTTCGTCGCATACTTCATATTACAGTCTGGGGAGAGAGCCGTGGCACTCAATCTTGAATAACTACAACTTTGCAGTTCTTGGATAGCTTTTCTCAGGCATGTCTGACAATCCCGGCTGCCAATATCCGGCCGGCACTGCGCCAGACTGTAGATACTCTCCAATTCAGTGAAGTTGCCTTCTTGAGTCGCAAACTTCCGGCCGGCGGATTGATTGTTGACCACTTCAGCGGCCACCTGAGTCAACGTCTTGTTAACGGACACCATGAAACTATCCGGTTGAGAATCGTTATTACCGTTATACGACCAGAATGGGACAAAAGACGGATTGGGTATCCCATATACAGGTTCGTCGGAGTAACTCAGGGTACAAAAATCGTACCAGATAGTTGCAGTCGTCGTTTGGTTGGGACATCTCTGCAATACGGTTGCGCTAGCGTCTCTTACGCACGCGCCGCAGTCGGCGGCGGAGACGTCGCCCCGGCACATGAACAAGCCGTACACGGCGGTGTCTTGATCGCCGGCGGTGAAGTTGTAGAAGCCATTTTGGCGGTTGGCATGGGAGGAAAGAGTGGGGAGGAGAGACTTAAGATTGGCTTCATAAGCGGTGTTAGGGGTATAAGTAGAGGTGTCTTTACAATAGTTTCCGAGAGGTTTGAAGGTAGCTCCGATCAACGGACTCATCTGGAAGCAGATGCATAGGATTAGGATGTAACCCAGAAGAAAACATCTGAATTGAAGATGCATATTTCTTATCATTTTTGTTTTTTGTTTTTTTTTAAATAAAAATTTCTAGGGCCGGGTATCTCACTATCTTGTTCAGGAGAACACATGCATATAAAGAATTAAGTTGACGAGAACAAAAAAAAAAAAAAAAATCAAAGTGGGAGAAGAAAAAAAAACCAAAGTGGGAGAAGAAGAAAAAAACCCAAAGTGGGAGAAGAAAAAAAAAAAAAAAAACTCAAAGTGGGAGAAGAGAAGAACCAATGTTCGAACTTGGACATAGTGTGAAATTATGTTTAAAATAGACAAATTTCTTTCGGTGTATTGACAGTTGATCTTATCTGCTTGAGTTACTGTAATTTATATGCTTTCAAATACTCTGTCTAGCTGGGTGTGGATGATACACCCATGATGTTGGTATAATAATAATAAGAGCAAATACCAGTTTTGGTCCCACGAGTATTAG